CTATAGAGAATACATTGTGACGTCACAATTTTAGACCCACCCATTTATGGACGTCACTTAGCTCCGCCCATGGACCTTATAAGAAATAGACTAACCCAGTGGGCGGGGCGCGCGTCACCGACATGTCCGCAAGAAAGAGTAGGGACGATCTGGTTTACTTTTAACATTGAAACCTATGGCGTTTGTATCACATAACTCTTTTTAACTATTAAATGTTGATACGTTGTATAGAGATGAGATTATGCAAAGTCCACATTTTTTTCTTTTCAAATAGGAATTTAATATATATCATTAAAGCACTTTTTACTGCGATTCGCGCATTTTTTTCACGCGTAATTCTTTGTACAAACATCTTTACTTCGGTAAAACGGTAAAAATCTAGCACAAATTTTATGAACTTAATTTTGCGTAAAAATAAATAAAATTAAATAAGATTGATAGCACGTGATGTTTTGAAAAAAATAAGATAAAATTAAACAAGATCTGATATTTTTTTTTTAAGATTTTCAGGCAGTGATCAAACGTAATAACATTACAAAACATCATATTTACACTCATGTCCATAAATTAAGGATAATGCAAAATCAGGCAAAGGAAAAGTTAGAAGCAAAAAAAAATTTGACTTATTTGTAAAGCTTATTTATTAAACAAAAGGTAAAGAGCAAAAAAAAGATGCTATATGTTTGATATTATTAAAAAAATTAGCGATTTTTTTTCTCCCTGGAGCAAATTACCAAAAAAAAAAAAAAAAAAAAAAAACTTATTTACAAAAAAAACCAATATTACATGGTTGGTTTGATTGTTAATACATTGTATGTCTCCCAGACGATGCAATACAGTCCGTACAACGCCTAGGCATCTGAGTATCAAATTATCGATCTGATCTTGGGGGATATTACATCACTCAAAAAGCAATGCACTCCGAAGTTCCGGTAGACATGTAGAAGGAGGTTGACGGGCTGCAACTCGTCGGCCAAGCATGTCCCACACGTGTTCTACTGGTTCAAGTCTGGTGAGAATGCTGGCCAGTCTGTACGGGTGATATCCTCCGATTGAAGGCATTCGCTTACGATATTTGCACGGTGAGGACTGGCGTTGTCATCCATAAACAAAATTGTGCCCCATGGCACCCCGAAACAAATGTACATGTTGTTCCAGAATGACGTCCCGATAGATATGGCTTGTCATGATTCCAATTTGAACATGAAGGTCAGTTCTGGAACCCAGAATAATTCCACCCCAAACGAGCACTCCTACACCACCGTAACGGTGTCGTTCAATGATGCTTTCTTGGTGGTAACGAATACCTGGAGCTCTCCATATGAAAGTCCGGCGAGAATCAGACTGCAAGCTAAACCTGGACTCGTCGGAAAACATCACACAAGCCCACTGTTGCGGTGTCCACAGTGCATGCTCTCTACTCCAGGCTAACCGCAGGCGACAGTGAGTTGCAGTAAGTGGAACGCATCTGACAGGTCTACGAACATATAAACCAATCTGCCCTAAGCGTCTGTACACGGTCTGCCTTGAAATTGTCGTACCAGTGGCTGAAGAGAGCTGACGAGGCAGGTCTCAGGCTGTGCTCCACCTGTTTGTTTTGGCAGTAACTGCCAAATACCGGTCCTTATTCGGCGCTGTAACTCTGGGGCGACCTGTGCTGTAACGTCTACTCACATTACCATCATCTTGGAATCGTTGCCAAAGCCTGGAGATGACACTCTGGCAATTCCAAGTTCGTCTGATACTTCCAGTTGGTTACGCCCACATTCTAGACGGCCGATAATTCTACCACGTAAAAAATCATCCAAATGCGTCCTTTGTGTCATAACTATTCGGTTATTGCACTGAAATGCTTATAAAGCGCCTGCGAACAATTTTACTTCTTTGCCTGTATTCCTTATATATCACTCTCTTACACTCTCGTCATTGTGACGTACCATCGGTGTCATCTGGTTACTTCCTGAAATTTGCATATGATTCTTGAAGATGTGTGTAGTGATTTTACAGGTGATATATTTATTTTAGAGTTCGATTTCCGCGTGACTCCGAATCATCCTTAATTTATGGACATGAGTGTATTTGATTACATGATCATTAAATTATTAACATTAAAATGGATTAGTTATTTTAATAATTCATAAAATTCGGAGCATAAAATTTTCTGAGCATAATGAAGGGGAAAAAAAGATAAAATAAAATCTAGAAGCTCTCATTTTATATTACGCCCAAAAGAAACCTTTTTTTAACGCTTTGTGTGTTACCTATATTTATTGAATATCACGTTCTTCGCCCGTAAACCACATACGTTTGAAAACAGCATATCTTTAGAATTTCCGCACTGGAGATAAAACTGTTATTTTCCGTACAGTGCTCGCTCTGAACTCTTTCAGTTTGTTACTCAAAAATTCGCTAAAGGTTTACAAAATATGAAATAGATTAAAACAAATTCGAAATTCGGCCGTCCAGATGCCCATGTTCGGGTGGAGGATTACATTATTCAAAATTTGATGGCTCTAGATACTGTCGTTTTTGTCACAGTGCGAGAAACATACATGTATTCATGCAGATTCTTCATTATTTAATTTCTTTAAATATAATACAGGGCGATAATATTTGGTAACAACAATTTGCAAGGAGACACGGACATTTATAGTAAAACAGCGCAAAATGCCGCTTTCGAAACTAACAGCCTTTCTAGGCTACCGCCCCTTTGGGCTAATAAATTAAATTAACAGTAAATAAAAAAAATCTTATGCAGAACTAAAAATAAATTTAAAAAAATAATCACTATAAAATACAAGCAAAATTATTACGGTTAAATACAATTTTAATATTAGAATTAAATGTATAAAAATTTTTAAGGAGTCAAAAGTGTTTATCACTATGATGTATTATGAAATATAATTGAAATAAAATTCCTTATAGAAATTGTGTGCTATAATACTCATCTATAATTTTTAAAAAAAATAGCACAATTTAGAATTTCAGACAAAACTTTCAAAAATTCGTTTTAAAATATTTTAGTATTTTTTACTTATTTACACCAATAAAAAGCATAAAAATTGCAAGAGAAAATTGCTTGTTTGAAATTTTCTATTAGTTCAGATTTAAAATATTATTTTCTAAAAGAAGTAGCTACAAATTTCCTTACAGCATAGGAAAAGCTAAAAAAATAATCCAACCCTGAAAGCATGCAATAGCTTTATAATTATTTAGGAACGTTAATTATGCTTGATAAATATGCTAAATTTTTAAAAATCAATCTCAACTTGAAAAATAAAAATATGGAGAAATTCTAATTTGTGAAATAAGGCGCTACAACCAGCTTTTTCTTGACAATTATACACGCTGCAATAGGGAACCACTGTTAAATTTCTGCAAGTCGTCCCTACTCCTCCGAATGTGATCAAGGTGACAGCCTGGAACGCCTCAGATGAGGAAGAAAACCCATTTGGGTTAGTCTATTTCTTATAAGGTCTATGGCTCCGCCTTAGCAACTTTGTTTACGCAACGTATTCTGAGATTTTACTGGTTTCAAAAATTTTTAAAAATTCGCCACTACTGAAAATCGCCAAGCAGTGGGCTAAAGCACATTTTCACAGATTATTATTTTAATTTAGATAAAAGGTTAATTTCACATCATACAATTTATTATTATTATTATTATTTATATATAAAAGGCTAAAATAACTGAATGCAAATATAATAGTAAATATACCTATTTCAGATTTTTATTTTAATTTAGATGAGACGTTAATTTCATATAATAAAATTTTGTATTGCTTTATGTAAAAAAGGCTAAATATACTTACAATTAAATGGGTGGCATAAAATATTTTATGTCTTCCAACATAGCAGAAAAATTTCAGTATTTTGCGCAAACGTCTGTACATAAACTCGGACAAGTAAGAATCAAAATGCTGTCGAGCAGTGCCCCGATGGCGTTTATTAAGCCATTTAGCGCTGCCCCACAGCCGTTCTACTGTTTGTGTATGACACCCATTTTCCGGGTCCACAAAATTGTAGTTGTGATTGACAGTAAAGTGTTCAAAACCGGCATCTTGCAGTTCATCTGACTTGTATGATTTCCAGCAGTCATTATAAATAACGCTTCCTTCTGCGATATTATCCTTTATGATGTTCAATAAGGTTTTCGCCGATCGATCTGGAACAGCGACTAAGAAACATTCATTTGATTCTCTACATAATCCACCGAAAACCCAACTGTGGCGGAAGAACACGTCCAACATTGTTCTTTCTTTTACTGAAAAGGCTTTCGTCTGCTTCAATAATTTTGTCACATCCGCCAATTTTAGACTTGGGGCGAGCAATTAAAGCTGAGACACATACCTCACGCATGTAACTGTTCCAGTCTACAACTGTACTGTGGTTCATCTTGAGACACCAAAAATAGATGAACCTAACGGCTGTAAGGAAGGGGATGGTGCTACTTTGGTAGACGGTTGCATGGATTTTTGGCGATTTACGTTGGCCGAATTGTTGGCGCGATTTTTACAAACGTCAGCCATCTTGAAAAACGCTGTTTTTACGCATAGTAAAGTATTCGAAACTTAAAAAATAAATAAATAAATATCGTTAAAAGTAATGGATCAATTTTTTGTTGAAAATGTCATTTTTTAAGATGGCAAGCAAGTGTAAATAAATACATTTACATGAGTATAAAATACTAAAGTAAGGTTATTATACTTTCATTATAGCAAAGAAGAGAATAAAACACCGCTATAAAAACATTGGGCCAACGTTTAATTAGGTTAAAAAATATTACTGAATTGAATATCGATTAAAAACCATCATACCAACATTTAAAAGAATTAGAATATTATTAAATTCAAATACTTTAAAATACGTTATATCGAATATAATAACATTAAAACATATGGACATAATTATCTCAGCAATTTCTGAAAATAGTGTATTAATTTTTTTAACAAAAATTGAAGTTATACAATTATAAAATAAAAGAAAAAAATATGTCTTACATTTTTTTGAGTGTTTAACCTGTTTTTATTGATAAGTCCCACAATAAAAATCAAAATCATAATTTAGATAATATCTTTGAAGATCTTTGAAGGAATTCGAAGATATAAATTAAATTTAAAAAACGGCGCGGAAATGCACAAATTGTCAGTAACCAATCAGGGAGCTGATTACAGCTCGTTAATGCACAAATATTCTATAACCAATCAGAGAGCTGATTACATCACGGCAGAATTTTAAAATTATTTAAAAAAATTCATACATAATACAATCATTTTTTAAAAAAAAATGCAAAATTAAATTTATTTTAATATTTAAGAGCCATAAATAATGTTTAAAACATTAGATTAAATTTATACATATTTAAACGAATTACTTTTAAAGTAAGGTGACGTCATTGATTACATCATCCACAACATAAAATTTCATAAAATATGATAAACAATAAAAATTTTTATTTCAAATAAAAATGCAAAATTTAAATTGATTTTTAATATTAAAAGCCATAAATAATATTTTAAACACGGAACTTATGCACAATAAAACGCACTATTTTTTAAATAAAATGACAACAAAGTATCGGTTACCATAAATAACTTATCCAGCAATGGGTTTACCATAAGTTGTATTACTCGACAAAGGAAAATCGCCAAAAAATCGCCAAAATCCGTGCAACCGTCTACCAAAGTAGCACCAAGGGGATTTTCGATCCTTGGTTTGAATTCTCAATCCTTTATTCTCATTACGGGTTTCTTTCCTGCACCGCCAGTTTGCTACCAAGTTATCGATAAAGCATAATTTCATCTCATGATTGTTGAAACATAATTTTCTATCCTGAATGATGCCTAAAAAAAAAAATTTTTTTTGTAAAAACTCTATTGCAGATTTTTCTTCACTCGGCAATTCCCAAATTGTAAAATTCATAGCTTTATCAAAAAGAGAATTAAAGGTACTTTTCCGTTTTGCCGGCGCAAGCGATAAAATCGCCAATAATGGTACAATCGATGCCAAACGGAATATTCTCGCTGGTAACCTTTTACGGCTCATTTTCAAAACAAGTAGCAGCTTTTTCTTATCAGATTGATTGTTTCTTTCATTACTGGCATATAATTACATAAAATTTTTATCAGATAGTTCAGTTTTATGTCTAAGGCCATTTTCGGTAATTAAGTCAGTTAGGATGCAATCACAGCGCTTGCCCGAAGCCGAAAATATAGAAAAGGTAAAGTCAAAGGTTAAATTCCTCGACTCTAATGAGAATGCATTAGCGAAGTAAAGTACTGCATTTTTACATAATTTCTGAGTAAGTTATTCGCACGAACTGAAATATTTCTTGCATTTAAACTTGTGTTCCAAATTAAGATTTAACTTTAAATTAATGTAGATAATTACTGAGAGCATTAGATTTTTATATACGTGAGATGAGATCGTTTGGGGTCACGTGATATGAACCGGCGAATCAGAATGTTGAACCATAGTAAATTCTTAATTTAATGTCTTTTTGCAAATTTATTGCCTTTATTTATTGGCTTTTTATAAAATTGCAAGCGATATTAAAATGTTTATGCCTTCAAAAAAAGAATTCTTAGAACTAACATTCTTTTTTAATATTTTTTATGTGCATACTGTATGTTGTCGCCAATAAAGTCTGCTTGGCGAGATTTGCGCCGGCGAAACGGAAAAGTACCGAATTAAAAAATTAAACTAGTGCTTCAATGGCGACTTACAAATATAGAACTATCTAAAACTTACGCAATTTGAAATCAGCGCGTTCGCGAAATTTGGCGTGCTGTTTAATGGGCGAGTTTGCTAGATTTGGCGTTTTTGCGCATGCATTTTCGCTGCAATTTTTTACCGAAACCGAATTGTACCAAAATAAATATATTTTTAATTATTTGAATAATTCATAATTTATCCATTATCGTCAAAAGCAATTTGCTTTAAATTTCGAATTTTTTTTTTTTTTTTTTTTTTTTTGTTTTTTTTGTTCATTTTGATGGTAACGCGTGGCCCTTTCAAATGCGGGGCCCTATTGGGCCCAATCGCTCCAATCGATCTTTATCCGGCCATGATAATATTGAAGTTAGAATAAGATTTAGCATGATATAGCGCAGAGTTCCGAACTGATGTGCTTTTTAAATTTCATTTACTTATTTTTATTTCTAGAAGTTTTATTCCCATAGACAAGCAAAAATGCTGTATTCCATATAAGTACAAGCAAATTGATAGTATCGAATTGTACAGACGAATAAACATGCAAGCAGAAAGTGTTGTAAAATACCTCAACCAGATATAAAATTGTATTAATTAGCATTATTGTCAAAACACTGAAATTAATAGATTTCTTAATTACGTTTAGTGATTTCAGCCTTGAAAAAAGAAAAAAATAAGCTTGCTTATTTTTTAAAATTAAACAATGATTTTTGCTATCTTGGAAATATTTTTCAGGATGGTAATTTTAGAATTTTTAATCATCATAAAAAATAATTAAACGTCCTGTCATCTCCTTCATTGAAGATTGTATAATTCCTTCTTTAACCAACAGCTTATTTTGCAAAGGTGAATGTGTCCTCCTTTCTTGATATCTAAACATGTAGTACCAAGAACGAAAAGAGGCACGGAAACTATATTTCCTGAAGATATAACTTGTGTTGAAAAGTAAGAAAGCTAAGTGGAGTCCGCGTACATTTTAAATGACTGTTTCAAACACTACAAGTTTTCCCTTACATTGTCTAATTGAAGATTCCTCATTATATCAGGTAGGCACTCCGTAAGACAATATCGTTGTTATACTATCTGGTGCTAAACAGCTCAGCTGGTGCCGAATGATTTTCTTGCTGCAGTACATCTCCTAAACAACTGTAGCCAGCTATTTGGGAGAAGAAACGATACCTCCGTAGATATGTTATGTGTATCCCATTGTTCACATAGCAATAATCCCGCTAGTCTGCAATAGTGTCATGAGCATGTAATTGAACTGAAAAGGACTGGGCTTGAATAATATTCACAGATGAGAGTAGATTCTGTCTGTTATCGGCTTATAGATGTTAGCTGATCTGGCGTAAAACTGGTACAGCGTCCAGAAAATATCCTTTCAAATAACCGATATTCAAGATGCAGTATCGTGGTATGAGCTGGCAACATGATCAATGAACGCGCGCCCAAATATATTGTTACGAAATTGCCCAGTTGCGGTAAAATAACTTTCTCGCAAAGCGATGTTTGGTTTACCAGAAAATGGCAAGGAATGGCGGGGTTGCCAGACTTGGTGCGAAATCGCCCATTCGGAGATAAAATTGGTAATATGCCGTAGACGGAGCGAGAACATTCTAGAATGAATTCTTACCGGTCTTTCCGAGAATATTCTCAAAGCCAGGTAAAAAAGCTACAAATACTATGCCTGTACCCAGAGTAGCAATTTGTCGTGAAGATAGCATCGTGAGAATATGTTGAGTTCAGAAATAGTGTCTTGAGTTCAGAGGTCCAAAGCAATCGACCAAGTCAGAAGGTGTACTTTAGTGTTTTGCCGTTAAGTTGTCCTCACTGTTATAGCCTGATAGCCTGAAGGTTGTATTGCTGATTGTTTCAGCATGTTTATCGTAGTTTTTCGATGGCTGTAAACATACTTTTGGAACTCTCTTGTGTAACACCGACGAATAAATTGTGCTTTAATTCTTCATCAAGTGTTGCCGTCAATCACTCCAAATCTACGAACCCATAGAACGGAACGACTGGTATCAGGAGTGGGGTTTGCGAGTGAATGCCAGTAATCCACCTGCAGGAGATAGCTATGGCGGAGGAAATGAAGGCTTTGACGGACTTCTTAGCAGATATAAAAGCTAGACAGGAAGGGTTAGTGAGCGAAATAAAAACATGTCGAGAAGAAATAAAAGCCAGTCAAGTAAAGCTATAAGAGAAACTCTAGTGGATGGAAGTGAAGCAAAAGAAGATTTAGAACTGACATCGTGGAGTTTAGAGAGAAAACTGGACTCCACAAAGATATAGAAATGGCATAGTAACATCTGAAGTGACATAGTGACACCATAGATGATATCGAAATGACAATAGTGATATTTGAAGAATCAAAGAATGGAGAAATGAAAGAAGTAGCCCTCTACTTCCTTCCGTTCTCCATTCTTTTTGCAGTGTCTGGGAAAGAGCAAGAAATGAAGGAGGAAACATCTAACGAGATTGAAGAGAGATAACGAAAAGATGAAGAAGCTTTTGATTCTCAAGTGCTTGAAGTGGAAATGGAAGAAACTGATAATATTGGTTATATAGATGAAATAAAAGAAGTGGCTAGTAAAGCATCTGAAAAAGGTGAAGAAATAATTCATGAAAATAAAGTTCCTGTTTCTCAAGTGCTTGAAATAGAGATGGAAGAGAGTGAAAATGTGACTGTTAGATTGCTAGAAACTGATAGTGAAGTTACGAAGTCGCAGTTAGTAAGTACTGAGTTATCTGAAAATTCGTATGATGCAGAGATAAGAGAAGCTGATGTGAAGCTTAAGCAGAGTGTTCTAGTATTGCAGAAAACATATCTTCACAAAATGTGTGACTCATAATACAAGTTATTCAAAGAGAAACTTGATTCTAAACTAGGATACTTCTGTTTGAAAAGAATCGGATTCTATTCATAACTCGTGCAAACATCTGAACTAGTTCTCAGAAAATAGAGGAAAATAATCATATACCAACTGCTAAAAATACCGAGGTGAACTGTACATATGATGCGAATAAACAACAGAATCGTGAGCATCTGACTGCGTCTTCAGACTGTGATATGAAAAAAACAAAAAAAATACATCTGAGAATTGCGGTGAAAATGCAATTAACTTGGGAATAACTTAATGAAAAGCCTGAGATTGAAGTTTGTTAGGAACTTTAATTTATGTAAATTAAAATTATTATTTTAATTTATGTATATAATTTCTAAATAATGTAAATATTTTTTTATGTTTAGAGGCTGGACAGAAGCAGAACAAGTCAATGTCCGAGGGGAGGTTTACTTCTCCTGATCAAGCGCTCCATCACCCACCACCACACTCCAAT